CTAGAGGAGGCCCATAGTTCCCGGTATTCTATTCATCCGGGCGCCACTAAGATGTATCGAGATTTGTGGCAGCATTATTGGTGGAGGAGGATGAAGAAGGACATTGTTGCCTATGTGTCTCGGTGTTTGAATTGTCAGCAGGTAAAGTACGAGCATCAGAGACCTGGTGGTTTGTTTCAGAAGATTGAGACTCCTGAGTGGAAGTGGGAGCGGATCACTATGGACTTCATTGTTGGACTCCCACAGACTCAGAGGAGGTTCGATGTAGTGTGGGTTATTGTTGATAGGCTGACCATGTCAGCACATTTCATTCCCGTGGCAGTCTCCTATTCTTCTGAGAGGTTAGGTGAGATCTATATCCGGGAGATTGTTCGTCTTCATGGTGTGCCCGTGTCTATCATTTCTGACCGAGGTATACAGTTTACCTCGCAATTCTGGAGGGTATTTCAGCGAGAGTTGGGCACACGGGTTGAGTTAAGCACAGCATTTCATCCTCAGATAGACGGGCAATCCGAGCGTACTATTCAGATTTTGGAGGATATGCTCCGAGCTTGTGTTATTGACTTTGGAGGCTCGTGGGATCAGTTTTTGCCTTTAGCGGAGTTTGCCTACAACAACAGTTACCGGTCAAGCATCCACATGGCTCCTTATGAGGCTATATATGGTAGGCGGTGTCGGTCGTCAGTTGGATGGTTTGAGCCGGGAGAGGCTCGGATGTTGGGTACAGATCTTGTGCAGGATGCCTTGGACAAGGTCAGGATCATTCAGGATAGGCTTCGTACAGCTCAGTCCAGGCAAAAGAGTTATGCTGACTGTAAGGTTCGTGATGTGGCATTCATGGTCGATGAGCGGGTGTTGCTTCGAGTGTCGCCTACGAATGGCGTGATGAGATTTGGGAAGAAGGGCAAGCTAAGACCTAGATTCATTGGTCCTTTCGAGATTCTTGATCGAGTGGGAGAGGTGGCTTATAGACTTGTGTTGCCGCTGAGCTTATCTGCCGTGCATCCAGTGTTTCATGTGTCCATGCTTCGGATGTATCACAGCGATCCATCCCACGTGTTAGACTTCAGCACTGTCCAGTTGGACAAGGACTTGTCCTATGAGGAGGTGCCGTTAGCTATTCTAGACCGGCAGGTTCGCCAGTTGTGATCGAAGAGTTTCCCTTCTGTCCGTATTCAGTGGAGAGGTCAGCCTGTTGAGGCAGCGACCTGGGAGTCCGAGTCCGGTATGTGGAGCCGATATCCCCATCTTTTCTCTGACTCAGGTACTTCTTTTCTATGTCCGTTCGAGGACAAACGGTTGTTTTAGAGGTGGAGAATGTGATGACCCAAAGGGTCATAACTGGTTTTACAAGTCATTCTGTGTTCCTAGTCCTTACAAACCTCTTTTGTCTCACCTCGATTTGCATGCGCAGTCCGGGCGCATTTCCGGAAAGCTTTTATGTGAAAACTAAGTAAAATATGGAAAGTAGCTTTTAATATTGAATAAAGTTGACTTTGGTCAACATTCTTGGTAAACGGACCCGAACCCGTGATCCGACTGTCTCGTATGGTCCGTAGTAAAATATGGGACTTGGGCGTATGCCCGGAATCGAATCCGAGGTCCCAAGCCCGAGAAATGAATTTTGAAAGAAAATTGTGTTCTAGAAAATATAAAGGTTTTTTAGAAGTGAATTGATGTATTTTCTTGATGGTATCAGGCCCGTATCTTGGTTCCGGAGCCCGGTACAAGTTTGAAATAATTATTAAGTTGAATCTGTAAAATTTGGTAAAGATCGGAACCCAAAAGGTGGGAATGACACGGATCATACCATGGACGTTATTACAAGGAGTGGAAAAAGTGGGGATGCAACCACCTCAAACCAGAGGAAAATTGTGGATGATGAGCAAGTGGTGCAAGAAGATGAGATGCCGAGCAATGAGGTGCAAGAAAATGATGAGGTGAGAATTGATATTGATGACAACGTGGAGGAGACTCATGAGGAAGTGAACCCGTCTAGGGAGCACATTGTTGACATACCAAAACCGGTAGTGCCAAAGGCTAAGGCACCAATGCCAAGGCCTCCTACTCCATACCCTAAAAGGCTTTCCAAGAAAAATGGCGAGAACCAATTTAAAAAGTTCATTGACATGATGAAGAGTCTATCTATCAACGTGCTATTGGTTGAGGCTTTGGAGAAAATGCCCGGTTATGCAAAGTTCATGAAGGACTTGGTGATAAAGAAGAGGTCGATGAATTGTGAAACTATAAAGATGACTCATCAAGTGAGTGCAATTTTGCACTCAATGGCTCCTAAATTGGAAGATCCCGGCGCTTTCACTATCCATTGTACCATTGGAAGTGCTGACTTTGCTAAAGCTTTATGTGATATTAGGGCAAGTATCAACTTGATGCCCTACTCGATTTTCAAGACTTTGGGGATTGGGCGGCCAAGATTCATATCTATGAGATTACAAATGACGGATCGTACCATGAAGAGTCCGTTGGGTATCATTAATGATGTATTGGTTCGTGTTGACAAATTCCGTTGGGTATCATTAGTGATGTATTGGTTCGTGTTGACAAATTCATTCTCCCGATGTATTTTGTTATTTCTTGATTGCGAGGTCGATTATGAGGTGCCGACAAGAAATAGAGGGTTATGTAGAATGTGTGAATGCTTTGCAAGGAATGGGGTCATACACTTATGAGCCTCGCAATTGTCTGTGGTTCTTGAGAATAGAACCACTCCTCCAACAAAGCCTATTGAGGAGCCTCCCATCTTGGAGTTGAAGCCATTACCTCCACATCTTCGGTGTGAATTTCTTGGCCCTTCTTCTACTTTACCGGTTATTCTTTCCTCTTGTTTGACTAACGTGAAGGTAGATTCCACTTTGGCGGTGCTAAAAAGAGGAAGAAAGCTATTGGATGGACTTTGGCGGATATTCGGGGGATCCGCATTTTGCATGCACAAGATCAACTTAGAGGAAGGTGCCAAACTATCTGTTGTACATCAAAGGAGACTCAAAGAAGCCATGCAAGAGGTTGGCAAAAAGATGGTCATCAAGTGGTTGGATGTCGGGGTTGTGTACCCCATTTCCGATAGTTCATGGACTTCTTCAGTACAATGCATCCCAAAGAAAAGGGGCATGATGGTGGTCGCCAATGACAAGAATGATTTGATTCCAACAAGAACGGTGACGGGGTGGAGAGTGTGTATGGACTATCGCAAGCTCAACAAAGTCACAAGGAAGGATCATTTCCCACTTCCCTTC